TTTTGCTACTGAAGACGCTGTTCAGATTGTTAATTTGTTTATTTAACAACCTACAAATCATAATTACAATTCATCATGACAAGGTTGCAGGTTTACACACTTTACAAACCCTACTCACTAATCTGTTCACTCTATCTTCAATGGTCTTCACTTATTCACAGTACGATACGAGAACTATACCAGTGTCACTGTATTACACACTCCCAATAACTTCTCACACTATTGGTGTTCTTCACGTTCACGATTCACTCGCTACAAATGAACTCAGTGACTGTCCCAATTCAACTGTCTTCGGTGGCTACTACATTCCAACTCCTTAGGCAGTGTGGTTCTCCTATAAACCCTCAGCCAGACAATGGAAAATGCCTCGCTTCCCTGTTGACTAGTCGCCATGTTTACAGGTGTTGTCGCCTGTTATGTCACAGTAGGCAGTGCTGCCACGTCACGGTGGGGGGCGCCCACCGAGCGTTGCATACTGATGGAAGGAGTGGAGGTATGTGACATCACTCGTGAGACCATAGATTTCATGTGACCCCCATTTCCCATTGCGCCATCCACATCACAATACAGTGTTTCACAACTTTAGGGTATAACTGCAGGAGGTGATTTCCTAGGTCTTTGTGATCAAAAAGTTCATATAAACATGTGTCCGATTTTGGACGGTTATGGAGTTATGACCGTTTTTTCATTCCTGTACATGCCCTCGTGTGAACCGCGTCCATCATCTGGCAGGTCGTTATTTTTAGCCAGCTACAGACAGAACGTTCTCGTTATCTCGACACTTGAGAGGTACCTAAGGCATGGTGGGTTGGTATGTAAGCCCACGGCTAGTGTGGTGGCTACTGGTGTTCAGAACAGTTCTCATCTCGGTGAGTCTGTTACGTTCACGATGCCATTTACATTTTCATTTGAGGAGTATGCAGATATGATTTATGTGTATGGGTTTTGTGACGGTAACTCAGTTCTCTGCAGTACAATGCATGCAGCCACAGGAGCAAGACACAACACAAAGCACAATACACACATGAATGTAGGAAGAGTGCTCCCATAGAGCAGGATTGGCGTGATTCGCGTATTTGAGATACGACGTATGGATGACAAATCCTGAAAGGTTTTAATATTTAGAATTTATTGTTATACATGATGAATACACATTTTAGTCATTTTAGAATGAAGACGTCATGGCATGCAGTGCAGTAGTTTGACGTGCATAGACACACACCTGAAGATGGCACATTAGTGCTGAAACATGTAGTGTAAAAGTGAAGAGAAAGGTGAAATTAAATAAAAAGTGTGCACTGTAAGATGGTTAGCATAAATACACATCATGGACATGAACCAATGCAACAGGACGCTAAAATATAACACCACTGGATTATTGTGTGTGGGGATGGAAGAAAGAACTGGTTTACAATGTGAAGGTGGCAACGCGTGATGCTTTGCTCGGTCGCATTCTGGATGCCGCTGACCACATAAGAAACAGCCAGCTGAAGCTGCTACGTGCTATCCACACAGTTCACAACCGAGCGGCAGCCTGTGTTGCAGCCGGTGGTGGCATTTTCGAAAACCAGCTTTAAGCACCAATCAATTCAAATTAATGGTAATTTCACGAAGTTATGAATGTATTATGCTGGTTTATTATTTTGTTCCGTTTATTGTCAGTAATTGTTACCTTCTATTCTGAGTTTAAAACAGTCATAACTCCGTAACCGTCCAAAATCGGACACCTGCAGTTATGCCCTAAAGTCGTGAAACACCCTGTATATATAAGATTTACAATATCCTCACATAAATCTTTTATTTTTTATATATGTGAATTGTAAAGTTTGCCTTTAATATGGAACACCCCACTCTCCAAAGATGGCCTTGTGTGATCAAAACATATCAGGTCTTACAACATGTAATCAATACAAGGACATAAAACTATGTATAATCATGTATGAGTAGTAATTTCCATTCTATTGAAAAAAATTAACTGTATCAAAGAAGTGCCAGTATTTAATATTCCACTTTTGAATTATATTAGAAACCAAGAACTTTTTTTATGCACAGTCTTTTAACAAAAGAAGGTCTCAGTATTAGGTAGCAAGAAAGGCACTGAAGAACCTATTAAGATAAATTAATATGAGAGTATAAGACAGAATTTGTATCCTGGACAATCCTGCTGAATATATGAGGGTGTTTTACTGTCAAAAGGCATAGCAGATAATAATGAAAACAAATGAAAATATTCTGAATGTGGGATATACTCATAAGAATGTTACATCCCATGGCAGCCCATTTTAAGAAGAAGTTTGTCCATGCAACTCCATGTGTTGAGAGTTCATCAGTGCTCCACTGTAATCATTGTTGGTAGCCTTATTTTGTGTTCTTGATGCAGTGCGTTCAAGGCATAAGAGGTTTTTGTGTGAAGCAGGGTTTAGATTAGGAGTCACAAACTGTAGTAAAGAACATGGAATCAGAGGAACTGGAAGATATTTTGGTCCACCACAAAATGAAAAATCAAATGTGTGGAGAAAACAAGAGAAATGAAGAAGAGCAAACATTGTTTTAGTGACCTAAATGGAAAATGGCTAAAAAAAAAAAAAGGTTAAAAACAGATCATACCAATATGGATGCATCTTATATTTTGGTGTCTCTTAATAGTGCAGAAACTTTATGACATAATTTGCATACTTCATGTGACTGAATGATTAACAGATGAAATGCATTATTAAGCAAGAACTATACACCAAGTAATCACCATGTATCACACATGTGATACCAGTGTTTCTCAATTGGTGAGATGCCTTTTTTGGCCCTTGATGATTTGCTGGGCGGGACAGGAGGTCCTGAAAATAAATTAAATCAATTATCAATATAATATTAAACTGTATATAATTATAAACATACATTTCTTGAAGAAAGTATTTTCTTATGTTTCTTTTTTCAACACAGTCACTATACAGGGATGCAAAAGATTGAGAATAACTGTGTCATAGAAACCAAAATGTCTCTTGTACCACTATCAGTGAGTATTGGTAAGAACAGCTTCACAGATAATAGTCATAAAGCTTACACCCAGTACCAATCATACTAATTTCAACAATTCCTGGAAAGTTACAGTATGCCACATTTTGTTCTGCTGACATATTTTCTGTCTACGCACTTCAGTGTCCAAAATTGGATAATATTCACACCCATCTCAGCTATTTTACAACATACTGTATTTTCACCCTATAATATTTTCTATATAATTACACTAATATATGGCCTGGCTCCAAAGTGAGTTCTATGTATCCCTATGCCATTATGAAGTACATTTCTCTCCAGTTATTCATATTCCGTTCAATTACATGGAGGTTTATTTAAAAAATTTCCACATAAATGGAACAAAAGTTATACAAGAAAATACATAAACAAAGGTCAACAAAGATAAGTAATTTCTTATATTAGCTGTATTTTTGTACAAACACACAAGCATGGTAGACAGAGACAAATTAACAGAACCATAAAATTAGTCTTGGACTCAGTGAAATGGTGTTGAACTATCAACATAATTATCTTAAAGAACAGAGTGGATAATTTTCAGTCCAGTGTGACATACAAGTTTACAACACTTCAGTCTTTATTCACCTTACATGTTTGGGATTATACCAATCAGAATACCCAGCAAATAAGCTTTAAAGAAACAGCATCATACGTAAATCTACACTTCAAGAAGCACCATCGTGAATGCCTAAGGCAAACATCAAAACCAACCATGATAATAAAAAAAATTATGTAGTGAGCATTACTCATAGCTTAAGTGCATATTGTTAAAACAGCTTATGTGACAGTGTTTCCTGATCGTAGTGGTGCGTGTCTGAGGACGATTCTTTTGAATTGAAATATGTAAGGTGAATAAAGACTGAAGTGTTGTAAACTTGTATGTCACACTGGACTGAAAATTATCCACTCTGTAATTAATAGTGTGACTGACCAGAATGAGACAAATCAAAATATCTTAAAGAAATTTAAATGATGCTATCAGTTGGCATTCACGCACAGAGCAGCATTTTATGGGCGACATCTCTCAAGAAACCTGGGATACAGGCAGACTTCCCGGATATGGTAACGGTCCAGCAGCCAACACAAAAATCGTTCAAGACCCAAGCCATATCCACCATGAGGGCATGTTCCATATTTACGCTGAAATAAGTAATAAGATTCATCACACTGCTGGACATAAGATATAGAAATATCATGGTCTAAAGGGGATCAGGAATAAATGACTACAGTCTAACCCAGGGATAGGGTGTATTACAACAATTCAGCACAAGGTATCAAAAAGAATATTTGTCAGAGATAAATACTGTGTAAAATAGGCAAAACTGAACAGACCAGTAAAAAATATGTCCATACCTACTAAAACAATATATTTTATTCAAAGAATGTGCATATTCCAAGAACAATCTCTTTTATACTTGTCCCTGAAAACATCTATAAAGTTGACGAAATACAGTGGTGGTCAAAATTCTCCTGAACAGTCTACCAACATTTCAGAGGGTCATATAACCTCTACCTCAGTGATGAAATCAAGCAAACTAGCAGCAAATCTGCTTGTTGGGCTCAAAACTGGACCCAGAAGATAGAAACAGTATACTCCTCTGAATTGTCAGTAAACTTTCACCAGACTACATGGAATCACATCTCAAAGATTATTGCATTTTATTTCACTATTATGTAATCAGGCAGAATCGAGGTTCATTAACACTGGGATATCCTTACCTGGTCAGTATACCAGTAATATGGGGTGGGATCAATGCCCTCTCGCTGGTATCCTGCTAGCAGTTCTTCATGATCCCAAATACGCATGGAACCTCCCACAATCTCTCCTACACCTGGCAGCAAAACATCAACAGATTCCGTGAGGCGATCATCTTCAGGACATCGGGACATGTAGAATGATTTTATCGCTACTGGGAAGCGGCACAGCATGATTGGTTTGTTGATCTGATCAGTCATCTTCCTTTCTGGCATCTCAGGAATATCCTGTTGTATAAGACATCAACATATATATGCAATTACTGAGTAAATAAATACATATTGCTCTGATTTCCCTAATCTGTGTGCAATAAAATGTTTAACTCCATTCAAAGACTGTGTCTCAAATATTCTTTTAAGCTTGGCTCCAAAAACCTGTTATCCTTCAGCTAATTTTTTTTAATGCTAGTGGGGTGGGACTAAGTACTTTGTTCTGTGGCCACTTCTGGTGTATTGTACCAGCCCCAGATGATAGGTGAGGGTGATTGTGGAGCAATTGGTGAAATGAAGATTGGCAGGGGAAACCGAAGCACTCGGAGAAATCCTGCCCCAGCGCCACTTTGTCCACCACAAATCCCACTTGACCATAACCGGGATCGAACCAGGGCCGCAGTGGTGGGAAGCCAACAACTAACCGCTTCAGCTATGGCGCGGCCCTATCTTTCAGCTATGTGATATACTTAAATCTTAAGAGTCCAGTTACCATACTCCAAGAGTGTACACCAACTGCAACAGGAAATGAACCAAAAAGGTCCATTTGTTATGCATTCCATAGTGAAGGTATGAGTGACCTGTTACTTACCTCACCAAACTCATAAAAGGAACCATCATCTTTGCATATCTTGTGTTCTCTCAGATATGTAATGGCATCACTGTAGTTCATTCGTAAGAATGGTTTCTCAGGTGCTTTAAAACCCTGAAACAATCATAAATACATCAAATACTGGAAAGAATATTGAATATGGGATGACAATACTAAATTCTGTAAAACAAAGAGACCATTAATAAGAAAAAGCTATGCGAATACCAGTCAGAAAATATCTAATTTTTCACACAGCCTGCATTATCACCTTAATTTCATTTTACTTCTGTATTCCCACTGTTAATTACCTATCACTATCACACTTAAATGCAATATTGTATGTTCTTACTCATTTGTTAAATACGGCTTTTCAGCTGCCTAGGTCCAGTAATTTGAGAATGATGAACTGGTAGGGATGCTGAAAGAAGAAGTCATATCTAGCCTATTATTATAGCACTATCCTGGTATTTGCCCAGATAGACTAACGAAAGCCATGAAAAATCTGTCATGACTACCAGCCACAAGGCCAAGATCTGACCGAGACTTTATGAATATGAGGGAGTTTCAACCATCCAATTGTGAGGTTCAGTCACAATACTGTAGTTCATCAGAACTACAGATCCTACTAACAGGTATTTTCCTGGAGAGACTTAAGTCTTCTGAAGTTAAAACGCTCTACAGGAAAGGTGATAAAGCTGAAATCTCCAATTGCAGACCTATCTGACTTCTTCCAACTTTTTCTAAAATCATTGAAAAAATTATTTATAAAAGACTGTACTCCCATTTAAATATGAACAATATCTTGGTTAAGGAACAATTCAGATTTGGAAAAGAATCATCCACTGAAATGGCAACATATAATCTTCTAAATAATATACTGACTTCCCTAGACAAAAAAAATTATGTGGGTGGTTTATTTTGAGACTTACAAAAGGCTTTAGATTGTGTCAACCACAATGTACTCCTGGAAAAGATGAACTTTTATGGAATCTCGGGTACAGCACTCAAATTAATGACATCATACCTTGAAAATAGATATCAAAGAAAAATTATGAAAGATATTAAACTTAATCAAGTATTTTCAAAATGGGAGCAGGTCATACATGGAGTTCCACAGGGCTCTATATTGAGGCTACTATTATTTCTTATTTACATAAATGATTTCCCATTTTTCTTAAAGACATTAGCTCAACCTATATTATTTGCGGATGACACAAGTATTATTATATATAATTCGAGTTCTGAAGAATTTAGAAGTAATATTATTTCAGTTATTAATGAAACAATTACGTGGTTTAACAGGAACTTTTCAACTCTAAATTGGGATAAAACACATTTCTTCCATTTCTTTTTAAAAAAGGATAGAGAAATAGAAATTCAAATTACATCAACCAACTCATTATGTAAGTACATTATGTATGTACAGCTACTGCTCTCTACATTCACAAGCCATTCACCTGCTCTGAAGATGGAGGCGATACGTTCCTCCGAAACGTCAGCCAAAACGAAGAATACACAGCGCCAAAACCCAGAAGACGACTTTCTTCAACCAACTGATTAGTTACTAACATCAATTGCACTAAATTTTTGGCAATAAATATTGACAGCATCCTGTCTTGGAAGAATCATATTACTGAGTTATCATCAAGATTAAATAAGGCCTGTTTTGAAATAAAGCCCTTTTATGTCATTACATTCAATAAAGATGATTTACTGCTCTTATGTACATTCGATACTGAATTATGGCATTATCTTTTAGGGTAATGTCCTCTTAGTATGAGCATCTTTAAAATTCAAAAAAGAAACATAAGAGTTATGTCTGGTTCAGGCAAATTTGATTCATGTCGGGATTTACTCAAAAAATTACAAATATGGCCACTCCAGTCTCAATAGTGTAACGTGTTTTGTGTATAACGCGACAAATAATTTCACGTCGTATTGATATAGTGAATTTTATTTCACATTTGCTCTTACAATCACACAAATTACTATCTGACAATTACTGCCATCGGCAGTATCACAAATACTACACTGCAAATGCTGGTTGACTGCCTGGCTCACTCGTAACTCGTAACTCGAGAACTAACTGCTGGCTAACTCGGAACTAACTCAACTCGTAGGTTGCTGCCTTGAGAACTGTTGATCACACACTAACTCTTGCTTGCTGCTCAGCCGGCTTTTATTCCGTTCGCTGTTGCCTGTTGCCAGTGTCAACAGTGGCATTGCGTTGTGGTGCCGCGTCACAGCGGGAAGCTGTGCCACGTCACCGTGCAGAGGGGGGTGACGGAGCGCTGACTCACCTGCCACGTCACTGCTGGGGGGGGGGGGAGTTCTCCGTTGCGCAACATATCACAATATATTTTTTTTCTTCCTTCTTTTCATTATTAAGAATAAAAATTACTTTATATCCAACATAGATATTCATGATATTAATACCCACTATACTTATAATTTATACTTTTTTTTATTGCTAGTGGGGTGGGGCTAAGTCCCTTGTACTGCGGCCACTTCTGGCCCATTGTACCAGCCCCAGATGATAGGTGAGCGTGATTGTGGAGCAATTGGTGGAATGAAGATTGGCAGGGGAAACCGAAGTACTTGGAGAAAACCTGCCCCAGCGCCACTTTGTCCGCCACAAATCCCACTTGACCAGACCCAGGATCAAACCCGGGCCATTGCGGTGGGAAGCCAGCAACTAACTGCTTGAGCTATGGCGCGGCCTATAGTTTATACTTCCCCTCTACAAATTTATCAATAGTACAAAAAGGAGTGCTGTTCTCTGGAAACAAGATTTATAATTACTCACCTTTGAATATTAAATTGTTATCTAAAGACATTAAGCAATTCAAATCTTTATTGAGAAGCTCTCTCACTGAACACGCATTTTATAGCATTGATTAATTTTACAACACAACTTCCCAATGAATACCTATACATTATTTATTTAATAGCTGTAATTTACTTTTATTACCATATTTGTATTAATTCTATGTAAAACTGTTTCAGATGGCTACTATAAGATTTATGACATGTATGAGATTTAGTGTTATACTTATTATTTTATATTTATAATGTCAGTTTCTATATCCTATAGGTCTTTGACCTTGTATGGATTAATGGAATGTAATTAAATAATAATAATACTTCCATTAACATGCACTATTTCATAAATGTGGCATTAAAAATTCTTTCCAACTGAAAGATAATGGGCGGAGACGAATTATGTTCATGACACTGGTTTGTATTCAGGTGGGAAAGTCTGTGAAAATATACCTATATACTGTGCTATTACACTCGGTGATCGTCACCCAGCCATCAATCGTTCAATGTTTGTCTGATCTAAATATCACAAAAATGATTCACGGTGAAGTGAATGAATATACCATTTCAATTAAAGCATGTGATGCAACAGGTAAAAATGTATTCTAAAGGCGCAGATATGACAAATATAGTGCAGTTTGTATGGTGTGTCAGATACATCACATTTTGAGAATTACAATCAGCTCTCATTGTACTGACAGGTTTTTAATTTTATTTAACCCTTTTACGTGGTCATTTAAATTCCGCGGCCGCGGCTCCTGCGGTAATATATTCAGCCGGCCATTTAAATTTTGCTCGAAAATTATTTATTCATCATTGTTCTTAAATTCTATGAGATAGGAACATGAAACTTTCACTAAAATGCTCTTAAATGGTGGTTTTATAACCTTACCTTATAATATGGGCGCCCTGTATCTCGGCCATGGAAGCAGGTTGTTTAGTATTTCAGCAGTGAATGGTACGCCTTGAAGGATGAAACTTTCACTAAAATGATCTTAAATGATGGTTTTTATAACCTTACCTTATAATATGAGCGCCCTGTATCTCGGTAATGGAGGCAGTTGGTTTAGTAGAAGGAAGGCCTTGAAGCATTCGTATAACCCAACGGTGCCCCACGTTCACCATTCTCCGCTCCAATATTGTGTATTTTTTTTGGCCCTTTTTTTTAACCACACATATGTGCGGCCTTGCCTTCTTACCCGTGAGGGGTATACTTCAAGGAAATGTCTTTCCGTGACCCGTTTAGTTGCCAGGTCAGCTGTAGTAAATTCAACGTTACGAGTTATCATAACAAGGGGTTGTTGCTATGCCTTTGATATTCCATCCATTTTGGCGGCAGGAGATGTCGTAGGGGTGACCACAGAATTCATGAAGTTATTCTAAGAACTGTCTGGTATGTAGTGAACGAAAGTAGAGCTTAGCTGGCTCAAAAAAATATTTATGGTCATCCCTCGAAACGACCACCAAGGTCAGTACGATAAAATGGAGTCAACTGGAGCGATAATACATGAAGGAATGAGTTCTTTTCCCTCCCCCACACACATCCGTATCGTCTCAGGGGGTGACCACAGTGTTCTGCCTTAAATTGTGGCGTTTTTCTAAGAAATGGGTGCTATGTACTGTGCGAAAGCAATCGATTTTGCAGGCATAAATTTTTGTACATCCCTCTTCTAAGAATTCCAATTGAATGTGTTAGTGTAGCCAGCTCAGGGCAATATGATATTATAAACACCAGCACATATCAGGTCTCTGGTGTTTATAGCTTCAGAGCAAACAAAACACATCATTCATAACAGAAACAGCTCGCAATAGCCACAGGAACGTTGCTGCAAGACAGGCATATGTAACGACGACTTAGCGCTCTTAAACGCGTGTGTCATTAAATACAGTCCTCCTGACAACAGGCCAGTGAAAAATCTAACAATCTACAGCAAAACCATCAATTATTATGGGCGTTATAACATACGTGTGCAGCTGGACGAAACATACACGTCGAACCCCCCCAGACGATTTAAATCCCTGACGAAACATACACGTCGAACCACGGCAACGGGTTAATTTCCAGAATTCCAGTATTTTGAAAACTGTTGCCATCTCCATCATCAGAGCTTGATATCAATATTACCAGCACAATGACATCCAATCACTTGAACATTGAAGAAAACTTAAGTCCTAATATGTGATATAATACTATGATACACTGAAAATGGATATTAATGAACATTAACATTTTGGAGTAGTGTCATGTAAGGTTTATATAATTCAAATTTTAATTACTTACTGGGTTAAGTTCTCTGACAATTTCACCATATGGTGAGTCAAGAACCCTCTGCACTACATCACAAACCAGATCTTCAAGTCTGTCCAAGAGATCATTAAAAGTGATGAATGGGCACTCTGCCTCCACATGAGTGTACCTTGAAACACATGAAGATAACGTGTGAGATTTGACGTTCCCACAGTGATGAATATGAACATTAATGTCTTCTGGAATGTAATACCATGTTCTCTGGTAGATATTTACCAATATTTCTGAGGATCCTGCTGCTTTCATTTTCAGGATAGATGGAGGCAACAGCTTCCTCCAAAATGCTGGTAATTATCTACCAGACTAAACAGCATCACCTGCCAGAAGACACTAATATTCACATTAAAATACTGTTAACAGACGAAGTGTATTTTCTGAAATGATGTGACAGTTATGCTGCATGTGGTTATGCAAAACAACACAATCAAAAATTCAAAATTTCTCATAACTATATACAGACATGAATATGATCTCAGTCACCTAAGTTACAAGTTATGTAGGCAATGTACACTAACTTACTCTGCAAGGTGCCTACGTGTGCGACTCTGCTCTGCTCTGTAACTCTGTGCAACACAAAATACATCCCCCATTGCAGGTAAGCAGGTTTCTAAATATAACTGTGAACTTTGTGTTAGATATGCTTCCTCCCTGAAAATAAAGCAATAAAAATTACATTAATGAGGCAGTGCACACACTATTACTTTAATCTTGACACAAACAGGTGGCTAATGAATTACTCATTGTCAGCTGACATGGCACTGCTGCAGGACTGACTACATAAGGTTTTTTTTTTATTTATTCATGGTTTATTTAAGAATGTTTTCAGTAGCACAGCTTGTACAGGACTAAAAGACAAGATGATCAGTGAATAACAACTGGGAAGCATGGCCAAGTTTTGAGATATAGTTCTGGTATGTGTCTAGGGGGTTCTAAGGCAAACTACACACACACACACAAAAAGGGGCAAAAAAAGTTGGGAAAAAAACTCAGTCAGTTTCACCATCTATGGGCTACAATCTGAACCCAGACCTCCCTAAATACATACACAGGTCTGTCTGATAGACACTGAATTACAAATAATACTTATATTTCTATTTGTACTCTGTAACTAGCTGTACTGTTTTTCACAAGGGAGCAGTATATGTTAAGACTAAAATCAGACATAGTATTTTATATTACAAAGGTTTAGTTTTATTACAGTCCAGGTTTCTATATTGCTTCTTTTAGTTAAATATTATGCATTTCAGCTATACATATAACAAGCAACACATGATAGTAACAGAAAGGTGAGAAGGAATGATGATACCTTTTTCAAGGAACTATTCATCATGGGAATAGCAGGTGTGGAGTAAGTGTGGGGGGAAAGAGGGGGGGAAAAAATTTGGTTATCACTCATATTCTAAAACTATATATCTCACCCAAAGTAATCCAATTTAAAGAGCGTAGAACCACCTTCAACTTGAGTCTGAACTAATGTTGGTGGTGTAACTTCAGTATAACCTCGACTGAAGTAATGGTCCCGGAATGCTTGCATCACTATTGATCGTATTCTGAGAATTTTAGATGTCTGCAATAAATCAAAATCATATTATTGCTTTATATGAAAAAAAAATATATATATATATATATATTTCACTGAAAAATGTAATAGTTACCACTACACAGAGAGGGAGGGGGTTAAGACATGACAGAAAAATTTTAAAACTTTTGGAAGTAAAATCTCCCACTTTTACAAAACTCAAAAACTATAGCCAAATTATATTTCAGAACATAATCATTAAAATGTACAGCACTGTAACATAGAATTATTGTGCCTACTATACATATTAATTGTTTCTGCAAGTAATAGTAAGGTGTTCCTAAGGGGATATTGTAAGACAATATGTGTCAAAGGCATCAATTTTCAGTTTTCAGTTAATTCTAGTAGTTAACGGCCTGCTTAACGATATTTACAGGATGATTTAGCAGCAAGAGTACCTAATAAATGTATTTAAATCTCATTCAAATGTGAGTTGACAGTTTAAAGCCCATTCTCTGTCCAGTTAAGAGTATATAAATTACTTTAAGAAGTAAGAATAATGTAGCATGTAGACCTGTTGCTAGGCAATTACAATGAAATAAGCAGCTATACAACAGCCACTACTACACAATGGCAGCAACAGATTCATAACATGCAACAATGGAGTAACTGGGAAGCATTGCTTTCTAAGCGATCTGTGTGATAGCTACATGACACAACTGTAGAAATATCTGGTCATGAGCCCCAGAAGGGGGCTCGACTCCAAGACTTACTGATTGGCTGGCTGTCAGTCGCAAAGTGACTTTGACTTTGACTGATGGGAGAGGTGTTTTCTATGCAGTCTGTGCCAAGGCTATATAATGAACAGCATCTGCAAATAATGTGTCTTCATTCAGCAGTGAGAAAGAGTAGGAAGTTGGTGTGGCGGCGCCATAGCTCAAGCGGTTAGTTGCCGGCTTCCCACCGTGGTGGCCTGAGTTCAATCCCGGATTTGGTCAAGTGGGATTTGTGGTGGACAAAGTGGCTCTGGGGCGGGTTTTCTCCGAGTACTTTGGTTTCCCCTGCCAATCTTCATTCCACCAAATTCTCCATCATCATAATCACCTGGGGCAGGCTACAATAGGCCAATCAGTGGCCGTCGTGCCGAGTGGAACCAGTTGGACTCCACACGCCACTTAGCGAAAAAAAAGAAGAAAAGAAAGAAAGGAAAAAAAAAAGGAGGTTGGTGTGAGATGGCTGCCAGCCTGAGTGGGAATGAACTGGAATCAAAAATAATTGAGAGTTCAGCAGTTGGAAGCCAGTTAGTTCATTTTGGGAATCACAGTGAGATTTGCAACAGACAGCAAGGGCATGAAGCTATGAAAATGGAAGCTGAGGCATCTATGGCATTGGAAGCCATTACCAGACAATGAATGGTGAAGACACATCAGACAGAAGATTTAGTACATGCTGTACTGAACTGCAGTGTGTGTGAATTAGCGATAGTGTTATAGTTACTTGTAGTTATGATCTCTAAGTGATCAATAAATCCAATTACCAATCCAAACCCTATCTACAGTCATTCACACATGACAATAAGTATGACTTACATTCTCCCCACGTATCATAATATGTCGGTTATCCAGCTGAACGTCTGGATGTGCTTCTTCATTCAGAATGTTGTCAGCACCACCAGCTGGTGCTAAACCAATCAATTCCCAAAAATCTACTTGCAATTCATGTCCTCCAGGTGCCTTAAAGACAAATAACATTGAAAATAATGTTACCAATTTTAACCTTCCATACAAACACAAGCTATTAGTCTTAATTTCGTGCATCCTGCTGTGCTACAATATACAACTCTTTAATAAACCGTCACAACACAGCAAATAGTAAAACATCAAAGTCAGCGTTCAGCTGTGGCTTTGCAACATGTTTCAGCCACTAACGGCCATCATCAGGCAAATACATATCAACAAAAATCTACCATTTAACTGCAATCATAAAATGGATATAACATTATTAATCGTACAAATTTAAAAATGCTTATGTAAAAGATTAATGATGTTTTGAAAACATCATTAATATGTATCGTTATATAATACTTTCAATTTTTAATTTTTATATAATCTGAACTCTTGTATCTTTCACATAAGCATTTTTAAATTTGTACGATTAATAGTGTTATATCCATTTTATGATTGCAGTTAAATGGTAGATCTTTGTTGATATGTATTTGCCTGATGATGGCCGTTAGTGGCTGAAACATGCTGCAAAGCCACAGCTGAACGCTGACTTTGATGTTTTACTATCTGCTGTGTTGTGACGGTTCATTAAGGAGTTGTACAAGCTATTAGGTTTTCCATCCCTCAGTACTTTCAATTAATGCAATGCAACATTTTGCATGTTGTTACAAAGTGACTGGGTGCCTTGATGGTTCGGCCACTACATCAGTAAACAGCTTACAGACTTTCTAAATGGCAGAACCTACTTACTGACTGTACAAGTTGCAGTACAGGAAGAAGCATTTTTATATAAAGTGACAACCCCAAATAGACGGATTATCATTTAGTGACATAACTACACCAGCTGTATACTGTGTTCACTGAGAAAGAAAGATATGGCACATATAGAAGGAACTGGAACCAGGCAGTTGTAGCCTATTTCAATGAATTTTTCGAGCATTTACCTAAAGACCAAAGAAAACCATGAACACTTTAATCAGAAAAGCTGATAATACAGCCAAGAGCTAAATTGTGCAACTCTGAATACAAGTCTAGAGCATTACCAATATATCAAGTGACTGTATTTGGCTCCTGGAAAGTCGATATCAAATTCATATAGGATGTTACATATCTCCTAGGAAATGATATTATATATGCTCCAATACAGGACTGTATCAGAGAGGTCAGTTATGTGATTAGTTAAGCATGAAAATGTGATTAGTAACTCTTACATTACATTTTTATATCATTAAAAACAAAGATACAATATTATTACTACTAATTGTTACCATATTACATATTCTTTTTAATTAATTTGTAACTATGTAAATTCCAGAAAAGAAGATCAGTATCTCAAACTTCAGTATGAACTGAATGTAAGTTCCTCAAAGCATTATGTTTTATTTCTCTTCCTCTAGCCTTGACATTTTAGCCACATTTTTAAACACAGTAAACCTTCGTTATAATGAACAAAATCTTGGCGTACAATTGTGAATTTTCAGAGATGCTGATGCACTAAGGTTTTGTAGTTAGAAAACTATTTAACATAAAAAAAAACCCCGACATAAAAACCTTTATGAAATTGTATTTTGTTTCTATGTTTACTTTGTATACTGGCTATATAGCCTACGGTGTACTTCCATGAATACCCCTTCACTCAGTTACAGCAGACATCAGCGTTAATTAACACTCTGTTCTCCCTATTAAAATGTTATAATCACACCTTACTGTACTTCTTTTCATTTCATTTCATTTCACTGCATTTCATTTGTCGACAAAATAAGTTTTCCTTCTAGTATTCTTCCACTCTTTCCATTCCAAGCATTAAATTTCTATCATTTATAACATAAAATTCATGTCCTTTGTTTTCACACAACAGAAAACTTACTGTCTTTCCTTCTGGCACTTCTGCAAGCACACCATACAGTCTAACTGCTGACTCGGTGGAAAGTACAAGAGCATCATAAGTCTGACAGAGGAGATCATTCAGAACACACTGCAGAAACCCTGTTCCATCACGCAAGGTGATGAACATAAGCGCTTTCCCTACAGTAACAGACCATATTGCAAATGAATAAACAGCATGCTTAAAAAAATGTTATTTCACTTAATTAAAGATGACACTTTGCAGCATATGGCCTATATCCTGAGCTCTATCTATTTGTTCTTAGTGTCTCTAACTCTCTATATTCATGAGCAAATGCACACACATAACTTTTAAAAATATGTTTGGACAGGAGAAGACAAAAACAGGTACAGAATTTGCAAGGGAAAAATAATGAAAGGCAACTGCTTGGGAGACTGAGGTGAAGAAAGAGAACAAGATTAAAGTGAATCTTAACATTTTGAGCTCCATTTTCTTTAAGAAGACATCCACCGATTCAAATTCATTTTGAACTGAAACATTAAGCAATCATAATTGCTTCCCTACACAGAAGTAATATGCAAGTCAGCCTCCATTATACAAGCTTTCAACACTATATAATGTCAATATTAACAATATAAGCAAATAACCATCTTAAAAAAAAACATTAAAGATATAAGCTTGTATTTTTGAGCATTTTATTAAAGAGTGCCAGGGAAATATATTCGGTTGAAGAGTAACGTGTTTTCTGCTTGCTTCCGGCTAGCTTGGTTTACTGTTTGATCCCAAAAATTAACAAAATACATTTTCCAAAATGTTGGTAGACTTCTACCAGATTACATGGCATCACATTCCAGCCACTGCCATGAAAATCTTAATCGAACATCAACTAAAGTTCAACAACTGGTTACAAACAATTACTTGTGGTTGTCAAATTTAAATTCATAATAAGTAACACTTTTCTGCCAGATAAAATTTCGTAAATAATGCAAATGAATAAGTCATATGGATTATAAGTTACTATGCTCAAAGGCTTGGCAACATTTCAGATAAGTACACTTATCTACTCAAGGATAAGGCATGTCTGGAACAAGATAAATAAAGAAAACCTTCAGAACATAGTAAATGATGGTAATAAAGTGTGAAGGGGAAACCTATATTAAAAATTCAAAAGCAAACATGACTAATGTTAATATCCATCTTAGTAAACACATAACACAGTCATGGATACAGCATAAAATGTGACATTCTTACTTCTACTAGCACTAAGCTAAGGAAAATAGGGTGGGACTCAAATTCTTTCAGCCTTTTTTTCCCCCCCTTGGCACTACAGCCCCAGTGGGGCTAGGCCTCCCTCCATGAACCCCTCCGTTCACTTCGGTTTTTCTATATCTTACACATTAGGAAGGACTCCTTGGGCGGGTGGTCAGTTCGTCGCAAGGCACACACACACAAACTAAACATCCATGCCCTGAGTGGGATTCGAACCCACGATCCCGGTTTCCAAGCGAGGGAAGACAGTACATGCCTTAGACCACTCGGCTACCGTGACCGGCTTTCAATTCTTTTATCTGTCCTGAATTATTATACGGCACTCCTCTAAATTGACTAATTAATGCACAATACCTTTTGCAATCAGTGTCACAGAGCTTGAAAGTGGAATGTCTGGTTAACCATTTATTTTGAAGAATAATGTTTCTAATGGATAATTCCTTTTAAATGTAAAAAAGTATATCATCATGGTCATCAGCATAGAGTTTGATATCTGTACTTTCTTGCTCCTTTCATTTTTTGGTGTGTGTGTGTGTGTGCATGCGTGAGTGGGGGGGGGGTTCTTGAAAATTGAAGGATCTTCAAGTGGAAATTTTAGTGTTTTAAGGTTGAACTGGAAAACTTAAAATCTCACAACCATCAAAAATTATTTCTCTTGAAGGCTAGGTTCTTTCACATCTCAACTTTTTTTTTACAAACAAATATCTCACTTGGTCAATGACACCATTACTGCAACCATAACATAAAATGAACCAAAACAAGTTCTGATACTAAACTAATGAACCATGCAGTGACATAATCCATCAAATGCCAATGAGCTAGCACTGCCAACTGCTGCAACAAAACGTAAGTCTCGAAGTTTGTTAGACTTTTAATTTACAACAAAACTTTTACATATTTTGTACATCAGCAAGGTATATTAAGGAACAGTGAAAGCAACAAAGTGACTAAATGATGTCCACCTCTCTGAAGTCACATTATACAGTCTTTTTTTTTTTCAAATCAATATTTACATTCAAACTGTATTAACTCTTACACTGCTGTGGTCGACATATGTCGATCTCTGAAAAACATGGTGTCCATGGTGTCCTTGCTGTGACCGACAAAACCTGTATTGTGACTTTAGAGTTTTAAATCTCAGGTTTCTTTGCACCAATCTCATTCAAACTTGACAGGTGCATAGAGTCATCTATTGGGAACATAATGAAACATCATTCATTTCAATGGCTGCATTCTTCTGCCCTCTAGCTTAAGAAATGTAAAAGGTTACATCTGCAAAGCAAGGCACACGCTTCGTGGTCATGTGACGCAGGTATTTCACAGGGATAGTAAAAATGGCTTCATATAGTGTGTGGTGCTTTCTATAAGTTTTAAATAAAGCTGTGGACTTTGGTCAACATGTGACATAGTGATAAGACTAGGATAGTGAATTATGCACTTTTTGGCCATCTTGGACAACCCTGATTTAAATGGACCTTTCACCTGTGAAAAATACTGAATAATTTAACATTTTTGCAACTTCTGCTGCCTGTTCCCTGTCTGAGGTAAGATTAGTTACATTTTATCACAAGTTTTCATACTTTGCACTTAAATTATTTATAAAAGATTTATTAAAAAATAATTCAGCACAGAGAATACTGACAGTTACTTAACATACTAGCAGTGAAAGGGTTAAACAACTGTAACTCGGAAACCCACAAATGTTAATAAGTCATAAAAAGAAGCAATACCTTGTCTTCGCAAACGATGTACCCAGCCATTTATCTTCACACGTACTCCACGGTTTTCTTTCCCAGCTACTATTTTAATAAGCTTTGCTTTGGGCAAAGACACATCTTCTTTTATAAGAATTCTTTTTGCTTCTTCCAAATTTTTTGCTCTTTTCACTGCATCTTCTTCTTCCTTTTTTATTTTTTGTGTATCTTTATATACCTCCCTTATCCATATCTTTTGGATTTTCTTAAGTTGAGATTTTGCAGCAGGTTCATATTTCTGTAACCAATTAAGAGAATACACACTGTTCTTGTTTCATTATTGCAATTTCTAAACACATTTACCTCAGAACAACGGTCTGATATTGTGATCATGTACATGTTAAGTTCAATTTCATTTATAATTACAAGATGAAACACAAACTATTCTAACTTACCAAAACCTGTCAGCAAATTCTCATTTTACAGAGCTATTCTAAAATAACAGGTCACTGTATTGTACAGAAATAACCTAATTTCAAATAAAATAATAAATACTACTAGCAGTGCACATTTTATTTACCTGTCCTTCTTCCTTGGCATCTACGTATATTATAGGAAATGGCTCCTTTCCTGCATGACGCATTGCTTGCAGGACAGTTCGGAAGGGGTTTCCTTCTGAACCATCTCCAGTTTCATCGCTTCCATTTTTATCAGAAGTGTACAATGCAGCTACAATAAAGATGTTTCTCTAGCAGAACTGAGACATACCCACACACATGCTCCATATTAAATTATGAATATAAGTTCTCAGCATTCAACCAGAATGACCATGTTTCTCTGTCATTTACTGATGTGGATGGTAAAATGAGAATGAAATAGAGGCAAGAGTGCAATATCTAACTGGCATAACTCTAATTCATTTTGACTGCATGGAAAAAAAAATGAGTGAAACAATTCAACTTAGCTGAGACTTCCATGTACAATTTACAGTCATTATGTAATACTAATAAATTAATTAACTATATGAAGTTTTCTGAGGAGATAGAAACACTGATTACATTCTTAATTCGTAATGCAATACATTACATTTCCCATTTGACAGGTTGCAATATATAGTAAACCTGTGTTTAACAAGTATCTAAGCATCTGGAATTCTCATGTAACCAGCTAAAGACAATATACCACTTTTATGAAGTTATTTAAGAAACAAATCTGCGATGTACATATGTGCATACATCAAGCGGTAGTTCTACCCGCCGCCACTAGCAGCACTGCCAGGCATCCTCCCTCATGTAGATGTCATTACAGCCAGAACAATCTGTGATCACAGTACAGGCTACCTGAATTTGTTATTGGATTATAGCCTATCTGAAATCTTTCGAGAATCAATCCACTATGCCACTTCACAAGACTCCCATACAAGAATTACAGTGAAATGTGTTGTATTTTGGTACAGGAAATGGAAATATGTAAAAGATTAAAAAAATGGCAAAAATTACATTAAAATCAGGCTTCTGTAAGTTTTTCCCATGCAACTGCCACACCCAGTTCCCCATATATGTCGGCTAATGGGGAGTTTACTGTACTTACTTGTGAACAAAAATTACTATAGTTTCTTCATAACACTTCTCCCAGAAGAACTTGTACACCTTGCAAAACTCTTCTTGTAAATGGTAAATTTTATGCAATGGACTGGGAGAACAAGGGCTCACATTTTGTGTAACATATAGTATGGCGGAAGAGGAGAATGATGGAAAGATGGTTAACGAAGCAGGATGTCAGCAACCTAACCTAAACCAAATAAAGCTACCCAACAGGGAGAACTGACCATTCATTTCTTGAAAAAGAACTGAACTGAACTGAACACTGAACAAAGGTACATAAACATTCCAAAGATGTACAACGAAATTAAGTAAAATTTGCATTTTTAGAGGTGCAGCAATACCTTCACCTAGCCTAAACTGAGGTAACTTCACAGGTAAATCACCTTAAGTGATGCACAACAATATTAATCACCAACATATCCTTTGCCCTACAAGACAATGGGGAAAAGATTAAAGCACATTACTCTAGCTTTGGTTAGGCTTCTTAAAGGTACTGTTACTGCGCTCTATAAGGAGAATTATGCCTGAAATTGCTGATCATATTCAAATACTTCTCAGCACACAACATACCCTTAACATTAAAAAACTGTCAGCAAAATAAAATACATTTTAAACATACTTATTACATCTCCACGTTCGTCTGACACTTCAGGCATGGTTGTAACGTGTCAAATACGGTAAATTGCCAACTTCTTTTACTGTCCTTCAGGCTATCTGTAATCAGACATGTGCACGTGGCACTTCAGAGTTCTTAAAACGACACACCAACGTTGACGTAAAGGATAAATCTGATGCAACAATACAGTAATAGTGATCGACAGTGTTTATGACTAGCACACGTATTAAACTGCCGGTTTAAATCCTGTCCCAATAACTTTTGCGTGCTGAAAACCGGGATATTTACATAATCACAATAAATTGCGACAGTGGCATTGATAATCTTATAAATCAACTAACAAAAACACGGTGGCAATAAATTATTCCATAACAAATAACTTCATTTACACCAACCCATCACACCAATTACTTTACGACTTTCTGGGTTGACTGCGTTACTAACTCAAATGGTGTGTAAACCATGTAGATTGCAAAAATCTGTGGCGGACGTGAACCAGGAAATTTTACACAACCAACTTCTATCGATAGACGACTTCCTGATAAATTTTACTGAATTACCATTTAAATGATTAACTTTGTAACATGCAACGTTTATATCGATGTATTATACACACTGTAATTACAGTATGTTTTCAGTATGATTGACCAGTTTGTACCCCTAACCGTCTTTAACATTCGTCATTTAGTTCTATACCAGTCAACATGTTGCCCGACCTGTTATACCCGAAGTGTAGTTCCGATTTCATACGAATTTCTCCGAATATGTCTGGTTGTACTGAAATTTCAAAATAAATGTATATTTTAAACTTCCACACAGCTAACAATATTGTACTGTTTAACAGTTTTAATTATGATAAAATTAATTTCATGCACTCCGTTTCTTGATTTGTGTATAGTCTACATAAATAATGCAACTACTTTTGCGACATCTCATTACACACTTGATCCAATTTAAATTGAGGTGTAGGAACATTCTACAGGCCTTCTCTTAACATTTGAGATATTGTTACAGTGTAAAATTAGTGTCTCTGTCTATGCCTATACTGACTACTTAAATTGATAAATTAGATTATTAACGGACTATATTTTTGTCGTCTTAACGCGCTAGTACTCAACATTGCTTATGATTGTATTCATGCGCTCACCTCAGAAAGCATTTTGAGGGCAGGGAAATTAAGCAGAATGCTCGGAACCTCTACTAATTATCCATAGGCGCTTAGGAATAGTGGTTTGTTTGTAAAGGCATGGAGCAAACAATATCAACAACCCCGAAGCTATTCGTTACATCGATCGTGGAAAATAAGGATGAATTAGAGGAGGTAAAAACATTTTATATGTTATTCGTATTGAAAGGTATGAAGGCGGCCATAATGAATTGCTGCAACAACGTTTGCATTTGTCCTCGACTGTGGCGCTAGTAGTTCGTATTTGAGAGGGCTGTTTGAACATATAGAACAGATCATTTTTGAAAAAAAAGAAATGTAACTTGTTTTACTCTGGTTTGCATAAGCGCATTGATTAGTTTATAATTTTCCAGTATCGGGTAAATGAAAGTGAATAAGTTTCTATCAGTGAGCCACGATTCCAATTTCTCGTTTGTATTGTATTCTGGTGTTTGGCCATAGAATTTCAGAGTTCAAAGTCCAGTATCCAGTTTATATGGTTTCAAGCTGTATAATCACATGAGTACCAAAAAGTACGACTCCGTGAAATGGTGAATGTGTTGGTTTTGTAAAATAATGGGTGACCATAAGTGACAAAGTGAGCTGAGAAGCTGTTTATTTATAGAGTTGAAGAGCTGAAAAAGATGACAAGGGAATAGGTCCAGTGCTTCCGATCTGTGGCCACAGTTCGTGAAAATAGTGGGAATCGTTCTGGCTTTATGTTACAGGGTTTTGTATTCATTGTTGAGATGAAATTGAAAATGCTGTACCTTTCATGATGCTTGTAAGATAATTTGTCCACAATACTTTGCTTCACTACAAGTAAACTTTACATCAATCATTTGAAAAGTATCTCTACCCTCAATGTTGTTGGACTTTGATAAGGTATAATTATTTGGGCAATGAGAGGTGTAGGTTAAATTTCTTATCCATGAGTAGAATTGGGATTAAATTCCATTAGATACAATAGTGTTTTTTTAATAATAAAATAGAGCCTATACATGTTTTGATCAATGATGGCCATCATTGGAAGGTGACCAACAATTCAAAGTAAATGCTTCACATGCCTTACATGTATGTGTTTTCTTGTAAGGTTTAAAGTTCTAGAATTTAAAATATGTTTTTTTATAAAGTAATAGAATTTTTGATTGAGAAGAAACTTGCTGTGAAGCCCAGTGATTGTGGCATTTCTTCACAGTAGTTCATCCGTATTGTGTTGATCCTGTGTGTGGTTCGGGCGGGGTTGTGGTGTTGTGTACAATGTGTCTCCATTTGATGGAATGTTATGTACAGTGCCTTTCCATTTGATAGAATTTAATCCTTATTTTACTTTTGCTATAGGATGCAACTGTTGAGGGCAGTTCTAATCCATGATTAGTTGTTTTACTCCATTTTTTGTTGATTTATTTTTTTATGGTTTATTTAATGATGCTGTCAGGAGCTTGGACCGTATGATGTTGAATGGTAGGATTATTGGTGAGTAGTGAATTAGAAAGTATGTGGAAGGAAACCGTTGTGGCTTAGTTTGAGGTACTGTCCCAGTGTTTGCTTTGGAGGATGGAGGAAACTCACAAAAGATTTCACACAGTAGTCATTGTCACGGTTAGAACCAGGTACCACCTAATGCAAGTTGGAAGCATTACTGCTTGAGCCATCTTGCTCAGTACTTCATCTGAACTGACAGATTTCTCAGGGAATGTGACTGCTAGCATTTAGCAGTTCCAGCTCGTTACAAGTAGCATAAAAACTTTGTCCTTGAATCTGTTGATATAGTTTGATGGAACACATGCAGGCAGTCTGAATAAAAAGGTAAAGTTGTCCCTGTACTTAACTAATTAAGCACTACGCCATGAAGGCGTATGGGGGAGTGGATGTATCGATCCACATTTTCTTGACCTCAGCACTAGTTGCAGATGAGTGGTCAGATTCATGTCCTGGCTGCTTTACCCCCAGAGAAAGAGCCTCCCCCGTACCCATTGGACGGGAAGCTGGGTGGGCCCCACAGTCAGCCTGGGCAACATGGAGTAGTGAAAATTATTGCCTTCAGAGGGACTTGAACTCCGATCCCTTGGTTGTCCAGCCCATAGCCGTTTCTGTACTGACTCTGCTATCCCAGCTCTCAGGCAATCTGAATAAGAAGACATTTATTCCAAAAATGTAGTGTTCCGTCATTTTTCTTTGATTACGAGTATAATGTAATGCACTCTGCTTTGTTTGTTTTGTTTTGTCTTGTTTTAGGTAGGGAAATCCAAATTTATGAAATATGTACAATTAGGCATAGTTGTCTGCTCCTAAACATCAGTTTTTTTCATCCAGAACTCTATAGTCCCTGTATTTAACTGTGAAGTTGGTATCTAATTTTTTACTTCCATTCTTTTATATGTTTCTGTCTTTGTTAACCCGAATTTATGTGAAATTGAAACAAATCACCACAGAACTCGCTAGCCTTTTTACATTCTGCTGTGTCATCATCATCCATTCACTGGCAATGGTTTCTGACAGTGGAGATTCTTCAGCTTATCATGCTCAGGTTCTTTCTTCACAGCCTCCAGTGTAGAACTTGTTTCTCAACTAACAACTAACTGGTTCCCCCCTAATTGTCTTCCTTATAACCACTTTGTATGGACCAAGCGGAGAACACTGTTTCCAGCAGTAACTCTATTGTTGTAGAGGTGTATTTACCATGCTGTTGCATAGCAAGAGCTGTTGTCTTGCTGTTTGTTTCAAGATCTTTGCCTAGCAATAGATCTGTACACCACATTACTCCCTCCTTAAGTCTATTCATCTCAAATAGCCTACAGTTGTATTGCCATTTCTTTCTTTATGAGGGCTGTACTTGTGATATCTGTGCTCAGTCTCACCTTCCTCCCTGTGGCTCGGTTTGCATGGTTTACTCTCCAAATGCTCCTTCCTTAAACCTGCTTATCCCAAGCAGTTCCCTCGTAGGGTGCTAGTAGGTCCAGATTTATCACCATAATCTTCCTCCAGTTGGTGCGGCCAAAACCACCTAGAGTGATCAGTGCTCCTACACCTCCAGCTCTTACTCTGTGTGCAGACCCTTCTTTCATTTCGGAGGGGGCCAACCCCTCCACAATTTCCTGACATTTTCCGAATCCTGACTGGTGGTCTGACTCTTCACTTCACAATCTCAAGCATGAGAGCCTTCTTGAAGATCCTTCCAGATGTCCTCTCGCTTCCCAGATTTAACTGCTCCTGTTCAGTGGGAAAAACTAAACAGAATTTTGTAATGTGTTTCTGACAATGGCAGCTACTGACCGTACACAAACCTTGCAGCTATATGAGGTTCTCACAGCAGTGGAGATTAAGCCTGTGGTGTTCTGGAATGTGACACCTTGTAGTGTAATGGACCACTACAACTGAACAGGAATGTGCGTCTTCCACCTTCAGGGTATCCTGTTTCCATTTTGAAATCTCAGATGGTATATGCTGCTGCAGTTATGTTCCATTGATGTTGGAAATATCCACTCACTCATGGAGCTGAGCCCTTCTTGAGAAGCTGCCAATTGTGCAGCTACTCAAGAACTTCCCAGCATTTTATGGAACCTAAAGGTTCATTACTGTGTTCACAAGAGCTCTCCACTGGTCTCTATCCTGAGCCAGATCAAGCCAATCATTACCATCCCATCCTATCTCTCTAAGATCCATTTTAGTATTGTCCACCCACCTGCGCCTTGGTCTCCCCAGTGGTCTCTTTCCTTCTGGCTTTCCCACCAATATCCTATATGCATTCCTCTTCTCCCACATTTGTGCTACATGTCTTGCCTCTCTCATCCTCCTTGACTTGATCATTCTGATTATACTTTGAGAAGAGTACAAGTTATGAAGCTCCTCATTATGCAGTTTTCTCCAACATCCTGTCACTTCATCTCTTTTTGATCCATATATTCTCCTCAACATCCTGTTCTCAGTCACCCTCAGTCTGTGTTCCTCCCCTAATGTCATAGACCAAGTTTCACACCCATACAGAACCACAGGCAAAATTATAGTTTTGCATATTCTAATTTTTATGTTTTTAGACAGCAGCTGAAAAGGCAAAAGGTTCTGGACTGAAAGGTAGCAAGCATTACCCAAGTTCAATCACCTCTTAATTTCCTCCTGAATCAGGTTTTGATTTGTTATAGTCATTCCCAAATATCTGAACTGTGCCACATTTTCAAAACATTTGTTATCCATCTTTTATGTCATGATTTTGCCCTACATTTTCGTGAGGAGACAGCAACATACACAAATATTTACAAACCATTAATATATTCACTGCCAGGTGGTCAAATGCCAGCTTAAGTTTGTCAGTCCAGGGTTCATGATTGAGTGGGCACATAGAGTTTCAACTGAAAATACAAACACTTGTATGCATGCATTCCCAAAATTGATATTTATTGTTTTATTATTAAAATTCTGTGGTGTTGTAAAAGATTTATGGCAATATTACAGTATCTGTTGAAGAAAATACAGAATATGCTTTACGATTAACCATGCTCTCATGAGCCATTATTGTGATGGGGTGTACCTACTTGATCTAACTTATCACCTTTGGCTGTGTGTTCACTTGTGGAAGCATTTAAAATTTAACTTGAAGCATAATATAAGTTAATGTATAACACACTTCTTTCAGTACTTCCCAGAACCAATTTCTTGCTGCTTTTAAAAGTTTGAAAAACACTTCAGAAACTGCTCTAGACTGCTGCCTGTATGCTTCCTGACTTGTACCTGCTCTGCTTATAGCAGATTATAGAATATTAAACAACAGAAATGAAATTGCATGAAATATGAGATGCTTATATGATATTGATTGTAGTCTTACAACTGTATTTGGTTACTGCCCTAAAATTGACTTAAAGAGACTGAAGAATATAGATTAAACTTTAAAATTCCAAAATATAGGGCAGATATTTCATTGTGTGAACTATTTGGCTTAATTAAAAACTGTTAACTTTAAGGTTTTAATCATGTGCTATTGAAAATAGTGGATAGAATGTATATGACTTGAAATGACAGCTGTTTATTACCAAATCTGTTCACTAGAAGTGCCACCAGACTCAGATAAATCATGATAGTACTTTCATAAGGTTTGCTCTGTTAAAAAATAGCCAGAAGTAATTCAGAAAAGGAGTGAATAATAGGCTTCATTAATGTCC